TTGAACACCCTTTGCCCGCAATAGAGTGGGAATGTAATGGTCTCCGCTCCCCATCTTGAACCTGGCCGGTCGCTGCGTTAGTCAGCCGTCGGTAGCTTTGAGCAAAAAAGAAGTTGCCTTCTTGCGAAGATTTGACTGCGACCAACTTTACTAAAATACTCAGTTGGGAAACTCGCCGTCGAAACCTGGGCCGCTGGCGTCCACTGAGACCGAGCTAAATAGGACAACAGCGCCACTCCTTATCATTTGTCTGTACTGTGGTCACCTTGAGCTTTTAGAAAGCATGGTTTTGCGTAAAAACAAACGGAAAGACTCTTTTTGTATGAAATTTATTGGAGTTTAGTACAATATGAAGGGCGCGTGATGTTTTTAAAATCTTTAGTTTGCAAGGTTTTGCGGCACAATTAATATTGTTTTCATACAACCACGCCTCAGCGGTGCTTTCAGGTAGCGCGTCCCGACCTACGTGCATTTTAACTTGGGTAGTAAGACGCGGCGCGTCCGCTGGGAAGACGGCGGTGGCACCCCTGGAACCTCGTCCGCTGTATCTGTTTCGGCGCTAAAATGGCCGATTAAAGCCAAAATACACGTCACGTGCAGTTCCTCGAGTGGCCGCTGATGGAGAAACGGAGGCGTTGTGTTCGCCATTAGCTCGGTGCTCGAGGACAGATCGGGGACACCTTTTCAGAGCAGTTTCTACGGCAGTTTTCCAACTGAGTGGTTTAGTAACGTTGACTGCGACTGAACAATTTACCCCCTGGTGCCTGTCATGAATCGTGCTTCATCTTTCTTTTCTTCACTTAATACACCAGAGTTGTGAGTGCGCGCCTGTCTGTGTTCTGTGTTCCTTCCTCGTTTGTCCTCGTCTCTTTGTGCGCGATTTTTCACCATGTTCAAGGTTGTGTGTATGTTTATACAGCCGGAACTCAGTTTGCCGCAACAGGCGACTTGTCTCTTGTCTGAACTTAGTCTGCATGAACTGCCTTTACTTAGTCTGCCTGAACTTAGTCTGAACAGTCTGAACTTAGTCTGCCTCAATAGGCGACTTGATGAGACCAGATGCGCTAAAGTTTAGTGAACAGCGTCCGAGTGCTAGACATATTTTTAAGGCCGCGTACTAGGAGATTTTTTATTTGCGCGTTGATTTTGTTTTGCCGTTTTACTTTATGCCGTTTAAGAAACAATCCCTTCTTGCGTATTCTACGTCTCAGTTAGTCGTTCACAGGGGCGCGAATATATCGCTCGGTCAGGGGAGTTAGTATCTTTGGAATGCGTTTGTATACGATAACATGAATTCAACTGTAACTATAAAAATAGGTTGAATTCTTTCTTCCTTGCGGAGCAGTCCGATTGAATACTGTTAAAACAACTTGTTGCTATTCTCGCTACGTTTCTGAAATGAAAGCAGATTAGAGCTATGATTGAATACGCAGCGAAAGATTACATTTCCATTGAAAAGACTGCGCTGGTTCATCGCTCCGAGGAACAAGTTAGCCCGTGCTGTGCGACTGCAAACCTGGAGTATTTAACGTGAGTGATGCAGTGGTGATAACCCGACCACTCCCCGGTGCGATGCACATTTCGATTGAAATAGATAGGGGCGATGGAACCCAGGAATAAGGCGTGAGTTACGTCATCCTGGTATTCGACGAAGTGACTAATACTTGCGGCAGGACTCACTGGCTTTCGAAGGCGACTACACACTCAAGAAAAAAGTGTGTAAAAGGGTGTATCGTTACACCATTTGTCCCATACATACACCCCAAAACTTCACTTCGACGTACAGCGCCCTACAGTCGGACAGGCGGCCCCAAATTATACGAGGGGCTTGATAGCCGTGTGGTACAACTTATTAAAATAGTTAACGTACGTGTTACTGACTAAAAAAAAAATAATCGGGGTTTCTTTGGCTTTACTGTAAAAACTCGGTGTTTTCTTTATGTGGTCTTTGATACGTACTTTAGCTATTGGGGAATTGTAGTAGACCGTTTCCGCAGCCCGCTAAGCACCCGGATAGCGCTCCGTAATCCGCCACAAGACCTTGAACTATGCAGATAAGGCTGTCGGCGCGCATGCGCAGCTGCGGCGTTTTCTTCAGGGATACCGTAGCGGAGGAGAAAGACGGTCTACTACAATTCCCTATTTAAAAAGTTATATCGCACCGTACTCAAACCCCCTCGTAAACGTTGGGGCCATCTTTTCGACTATAGGGCTCTGTACGTCGAAATGAAGTTTTGGGGTGTATTATATGGGACAAAGGGTGTAACGATACACCCTTTTACACCCTTTTTTCTTGAGAGTGTACGAATGGTTCATATATCTGTTAACCGGAATGCATAAATTGCATCTGCTGTTCTGTTAATTGATTAAAAGTCATACTGCGATGCTCTCAAGATGTAATCCTGCGCAGTTTAACTGATCTTCTCTGAAAACAAGGTTCTGTTTTTTATGTTTAGTTGTATTTCTATGCCCATCGCGCAGGGGGGGGATCCAGAACTCCGTATTGGGGGGAGGGGGGCCGGAAAATTTGTAAAGATGCTATTCTCCCATTCTATCGTGCGCAGTGGAGGGTCCACCCATGTCAAATTGCCCTCCGAGAAGGGGAAAGGGGGGGGGGGGCCGACTTCGTTTGAGGGGGGCGGCCGCCCCGTCGCCCCCCCCCCCCCCCCCTTCCCCCCCGGATCCGCCCCTGCCATCGCGTTAGTAGGTTTAGTAGCGGTCGTTTCTTGGGCTGGTCCACTGTGCAGCGATGTTTTAGTTGTTAATTATAGCAGCAGTAAGGAGTGCGCTTTCCTTTCCGTGCATACCTTAAATTTAGTTCAACAGAATATAATATGAAGTCTCTCACTTGTTAGTATGTTATCCACAGATCCTACAGCTCTACGTATTAGTTGAAATTCCAAAGTGTAACGCAAATCTAGCTATACGTTTAGTTCGTAATTTCTAACAGGAACGCGTTTTAAATATATAAAAAAGGAAGGGGGTTTATTTCTGACTCTGAGGAACGCATCACTGGACGTCATAAAAATGTAACGCTTCAATATTGCTTCGCGTCCACCAATTAGCTCTTCATTCTAGATAAATGAGTACTGCCTCTGCAGCACCAGGAAGAGGTCGAGGAAATAAAGATGCGTAAGAAAATGTAAACTGAATATATATTCCGCGTATATCCTTAATCACTCTCACTCAAATTCATTGCTGTGACATTTTCACTTCAGGCGTACTTTCAACCGGGGTTGTGGATACAAAATTGAAAGGCAAAACTGGCATGGCCTTGCTCTTTTGGTAGAGACAAGTAGAAACTTGCTGTTTGTGACAACACAGCGGGGTTGTCTAGACGGGGGCAGCACTGAACGAGCTGGGAGAAAGTGTCAATATTCGTTTCCACGTGCTTCCTGCGGACCCGATCCATTAAAGAACGTGCATAGGTGCACCAACAAATTAGGCGCTGTTGAATTATTGTCGTATGTGAGGGAAGCCCTTTACTACGACCGGTCAATTCATGGATACTCGTTGTAGGAAGATTGTTTTTGTATTTTTTCAGCGTGAACTTGTGTGCAGCATTGAGTAGTACGGAAAACCTAAGCTATGTTCTGATCGTCTTTACGTTCAATCGACGAAGTACCATATAGCATAATGACGGCCTGCGCGCCATCGACATGGTAATTGAGACACGAAGTAATTGTAGAGCTCCATGGTATTGTAAAGTTGAAGGGAAGGGTGTCTGGGTTTAACCGGCTTGTTGTAAACAGTGCACTAAAGTTGATGTTCTTTTTCTGTAACCGGAGGCTGTCACTAATTTTTTATGCCTGATTCGCAGGATGACAATTTTTAGCTGCAACATCGCGAACCACAACTCCCGCCCACATTTGTTTTTCAACAACAAGCAACATTGCAACTATGAATTGCAAGTATAATTGTATCATTTCAGTCCTGTTTTAAGGCTGCAACAGGCCTGCGAATAATTTCCCAATATTTAATTATTTTATTTATATGCAGTGCTTACCGACAGCCAGTAGCCTAAAACGGTAGAGCACCAAGTCGGTTTACGAAGGTGAAAGGAAACAGAGCAAATCCAGAACTCAACCTGTTGATGACGCAATATATCAGATGGTCGACGCTTCTCTTGAACAGAATGGAGTCATCATTAAAAATGTGAACAAGGCATGTGTCAAGATCATTAAAATAGGCCTGTATACGAACCGCCGGAGATAAATACTGCACGGTATAAACGGCAATCGTGCGGTTGTAGCGAAAGCTTATAACAGAAACATTTATATATAAAAAATAGCACAACAGAAAAAAAAACAAAAAAAAAACACGAACATTTGCTTATATCAGGGGTGCTTCTGCATGTTAATCGCAAATAATGTTTTGTCAAAACAATATTTCAGGTTTCAGACCCATAATAATTCACAGCTATTTCATTTTCAAGATATTGTGTGTAATCGTTTGGTTATGTTCGGAAGTCAATGTGATTTTCAGTTTGTTGTTTACACATGTGCTCCTTTAGCGCCCATTCGATAACTTCTCGCTGTACCGATAGCCAGGATTACGGATCTTATATAATTCACGCAAGAAGTTGTGAGAGCGAGGGTCTGCCACAACGCCCAGGGGCCGCTACCGACCGCCCAAAGAGGACGCAGTCCGAAGCGCACAGCAGCACATGAGGAATAGGCGCGAGAGCCTATAAAAGGACATTCCCACAAACGGGGAAAGACGGACCGAGGGCACGGAGACGTGTAGGTCAAATGCCCCGCATTGTTATACTCTAAATACTAACAAACCTTTCCTGTTACTCTAATAAATGTAGTTTCTTGTTATGAAAACCCCGGCTTCGTGTTGTTCCTCCAGGATGGGCATGCTGCAAAGCGACCCTACCACATGGCGCCCAACGTGGGGCGCCATTTGGCGCCAGGTGGAGCTATTGTCAACGCCACCTTTCGGTTGCAAATTGTAAAAGACAGCAACCGGTCCGTTATTGAAACAACAACACACGTAAAATAATAAACGCAAACAAACTTTATTAGATATTGTGTGTTGAAACAGGGGCCATTGGCACTGAGTGCTTCAATTCTTTATTGCAACATCTTTGTTTCACATTAAAAACAACAAAAAGAATTACAATCTCTTTGACTAGTGCATCGATAACAGCAAAAGAGACGATCATGCAGTGATCTGGTGACTTCACTTTTACAACATAAAAATAGTTTGTAGAATGGCTTTTTTTCCTCGAGTTCAAAACACTTTTGTCCTGGCGCGGTGGAAAAGCAGGGCCCAAAGCTCCTTCCGTATTTTTTGTTCTCCAGCGTGCCATATATTTCACATGTATACACTAATGATTTTTTTCAATGGTATATGTGTTGCCGAGGAAACGCAATGAACATGAAAAGCGAAGATAATCAGCAGGTGATATGGGCTGTGCTAAAGATCGCCCCAGCACTTTTTCCCGCAAACCTAGCTACACCAGAACATTTCATAATGCCCCATTCCCGATCTACATTTTGTTAAGTATGCGGACCCAAACATGCCATCCAGAAGATGGCTTTACCTTTTCAGGTTGGTTCCCACATTCGATAGCATCGGTCGCATACAAAAAAAAAAAAAAAAAAAATGCATCAACAGGAACGGCATGTCACCGGAACGACCTTGAGCCACGTGCCTCATGGTAACCAATTCCGCAAGCAGAAAGGACGGACATATAGCTTCCGTGCTCCTGATCGACCAATCATAAATTAAAAAGAAGAAACTGCCACAACCGTTGGCTTCTTAGATACTTTTGACTGGTTTCTGTGAGGACTTCTTAGGTTGGTTTTCAGGAGAACCATTTTCATCTGGAGTCACTGTCGCTCTACTTAGATTCGCGTCGGAACACAGCCGACAAAACTGTTGCCATCAACCTCTAAGCCTGCTTTCATTGGAAACTTTGTACAGGTACATAACACTCAATTCAGAGCACTGGAGTATTTGTACAAGGTAAACGCCATCTCGTACCAACAGACGTACCTTCACAACATGAACCAGTTTAAGAACACGTGTGTGCGTTAAGAGCAAAAGGTAAGCCACCTCATGGCAACAAAAAATAAACCACAGCAGCAAAGAGAGACAAGGGTCTTTGAGACTTAAAATGATAGGTCAAACTCCACTATATATCTTCAGTCGAATGCCCAGAATTTGTGATCTTCTGGCCCTGCGAATAACCCTTTCGTTTATGTCAACGTAAGTGTGCCTCTAGGACAAAAGTAAAGATGAGATGCCTTGTAGTGTCTCAATTTTGAGGCTATATATTAGGGGAATCTGCAGACATTAACTACCATCTGATGACAGGGACGATCCAGCTCTCTTTTAAACACTGGAAAATGTTGGTGCAGCTTAGTGACACTAATTCACAGTGGTACTGGCAACAGGAGCGAGAAATGTCAACTTTACACGGTACGAGAGTTAACATGTGATATGCGCGCAACCAATACATGTACCAAAATTTTGGAGTAAACATAGAACCTATTGATATATTAAAAATAATTCCGGTAAGATAATAACTTAAAAAAAAAAGATGAGCAAATGTTTTTGCTAAGCTAATGCAAAAGTAGAATGGGATTTATTTTTGTGGTTAATTTTTTGACATTTTATAGAAAGAAAGCGGCACTGAAGTACCACCCGATTGCTTAATCACACAGACTTTTAACCAGCTACTTTTCTTAAGGAAAATGCTGACACGCATCGTAATAATTAATTAGGATGAACATATAAGGCACTGTTTTTATGTACACAAATGTCTACAAGACTGACCCGCTGGGGCGATTCCACCAGTCATAACATTTTTGAGGGCTAATGATTATGCATCTTTGGAAACGTTGCTATATTATGAACACAGGATATCAAACATAAAGTGAAGGAAATGTATAGTTTGCTTATTTGGGATCAATAAATAAAATATGGCTTCATTAAGCAAAATAATCCCTTACATGCAAGTAACACTGATCTACTTGAGAAAACAACAAACCTTCTCGTCATCGTTGTTACATCTAAGGTTCAAAATATATTAAAGCATTCATGACGCTTCTTAAGTGTTTAAAGTGGGTGCTCGATATTTGTTTTAGTTTTCTGTGAAAATATTGTTGCTATGAAAATGGCTGTACGTGGTGTCATTTGATATAATGATTTAAGGGGACGTCGCCGAAGTGGAGCTACTGACGCAAGAGCAAATTAACTTCTATCTGAAATGAAGCGTTTCTAGACGGCTCAAGGGCCCTGAAAAAATGTCGACTAGTCCGAGAACCGATTATTCGCAAGAATCTGGGATATAATCCCAAACCAGGTGGATTTTTTCCAGCAGTCACCAGTCGCTAAGAAGTGGCGGGTGGCGCTCCAATTCAGCTGGAAGTCAATTTATTCTTGCGTGGTATGTCATTCCCTGCCAGAAATTCACACCCTCAAAATTGATTTTGTTTGTCATGCTTGGGCTGGTAAGTCATCAAGCTAAAATATTCTAGCTGTGGATTCCAGTTCTTTTTAAAAAACAACAAATACAAACGGCAAGCAGAGGACCATATGGGGTACAGTGACATCCAAAACATCGGACGTCGGGAGAAATCACTTCTTGTAGTCACTTGTTCAAATTACTTGAAATTATAATTTTCTAAGTATTTCAACGATAGTAAAAGTTGCGTTGTAAGCTTTCTTTTTTATATTAAAATATGTGCCTTAGGTGATATGAAACTTAGAAGATACTTCGGATTTCCTCCTAAATATTTAATTCGCGATTTGAACGTTTCGGGGTGGAAAACGGCTAGTATCACACCGCAAACAGCTAACGTTGGCTAGCTGGGTTCGAATAGAGTAAGTTGTAGTAAAATTTTGAATAACATAAATATTTTAGTAACTAATAATAAAGAGTAAGAACTCACTGACTCTAAATCCGTCTCGAGGCAATTTGGTACCATATGTTTGTGTATGTATGATTTCTGTAGCTAAGGCAACTACTTCCTCTAGACGACGTCTTTTAAAGAGTAAATACAAAATTAATGATCAGAAAACATATCAATCTTTTTTTTTTCGTATCGATTGTGAGACGAAATCTTTTCCAGGGGTTTTGTCAAAGTCCTGAATATTGCGGGAGACAGCTGCTTGCTGATAGGCTTTTCTCCCTCCCTAAGAGAAGCAGAAATGCAGGAACAAGCGTCATTCAACGGCAGTGAAAACAATTTTCCTGCGACATCGGTGCCCCTTGGTTAGACACCCAACTTTGCATCATCTTGACAAGCATTATAAAACGTCGAAGCACACTTCAGACTTTACACTTTCGCCAGTTTACCTTAATTTTTTCTCCTCCTTCCTTCCCCACACCCGTTGGGGTTTTGATCCCCCTCTTTCTAGCGGATATCGCGAGCAGTCAGTTTCCTCTCTCCAGGTTTCCTCCTTCCCTCTAACGTTAACCTCGCAGGATGGGAGAGGAGAAACCTGAGCGGAGGAACACCTTGCCGAAAATCGAGGTCGCAAGGAGTGTGTTCCAGTTACGTAACACTGCGAAAAACGTTGTGGAGGTGGGCGAAATAGTTCCCTAAAACTCCATCTCTCTTCACAATTATTTTTCAACATGTCTCTACTCGGTTGGACTTGGTGGCGGGATGTAAGCACGTAGGTAAGCTTCAGGCTTCTGACTGTCTCGAGGGACGAAACCTGGGAAGCACAGATTTATCGAGAGGAATGTCGGGTGCGATATTGTCTCTCTGGTAATCTCCCAGTTTGAGGTCGTACTTGAACCGCGCTCCGGGCCAGCATTCGAGCTCGGGACATGGGTTCGCGTCGGTGTCGGTGTCAGAACTGCTGGACTGCGACTTGGAGTTGTTTGGTAAAGGGTTTTCAGGCGCAGGAGCAGCTCGTGAGGAAGTTGAAGACCGCGTGAATGGATACCAAGTTGTTCTGGACGACGACGTGCCGGACCGACTTGACCTCGAGGAAATCTAAAATAGATGAAATATACTGTAAACGACTTAATTTTCGCGGGCTCGAATTTTCGCGAATCGGGCCAGAGCTGAAAATTTTAAATTATTCGCGGGTTCTAATCTTCACAACTCGAGCGTAGCTTCCGTAGTGTTCACATATTGCCCGAGTTGTTCGCGGGACGTATTTTTCGCGAATTGTGGGCGGTTCGCGAAATTCGCGAAAATTAGGTCCCCGCGAAAATTTAGTCGTTTACAGTATATCACGTTTAACAAGTAAGCACAATGTTTGTGTATTTACGATTTTACAACTAAACATTGATGCTTGGCAACCTATCGCCCTTTTATGTTTACCCTAATGCCTAAAAGCCGACGAGCAATCAGAATGAAAAACAATATCCCGGAATTAACATTCACGTTCACAAAAAGGGGAAATACGTCTTTTTGTGTGTACATTAGTTCGCAAATCAAAATATTTTGAATGAGGTGTAGCTCAGAAAGCAAGGGAAAAAGAGGAAAAGAAGAGAGGGGGATTTTACAACTAGATGTTGATGCTTGGCAACACCTCGCCCTTTTATGTTTACCCTAATGCCTAAAAGCCGACGAACAATCAGAATGAAAAACAATATCCCGCAATTAACATTCACGTTCACAAAAAGGGGAAATACGTCTTTTTGTGTGTACATTAGTTCGCAAATCAAAATATTTTGAACGAGGTGTAGTTCAGAAAGCAAGGGAAAAAGAGGAAAAGAAGAGAGGGGGATTTTATAACTAGATGTTGATGCTTGGCAACACCTCGCCCTTTTATGTTTACCCTAATGCCTAAAAGCCGACGAACAATCAGAATGAAAAACAATATCCCGCATTTAACATTCACGTTCAGAAAAAGGGGAAATACGTCTTTTTGTGTGTACATTAGTTCGCAAATCAAAATATTTTGAACTAGGTGTAGTTCAGAAAGCAAGGGAAAAAGAGGAAAAGAAGAGAGGGGGATTTTATAACTAGATGTTGATGCTTGGCAACACCTCGCCCTTTTATGTTTACCCTAATGCCTAAAAGCCGACGAACAATCAGAATGAAAAACAATATCCCGCAAGAGTGGGCGAGGCAGCTTTTCAACCATGCGGACGTCGTCTAATCCTGTCGTTTTCATACTGCAGATCTTCGCCTTGTTCACGCTGTCAGTGAACTATACCGGCCCGCCTGGATTACAGGGATACAAGCAACACCAGCAAACGCAGATTGTGTCCGCCCCCAGTGAAGTCGGTGGACATTCCGTGCCTCACCAAGAATTTCTTCTGGTTTCGCCTACGTTTCATCGTGCCACCGGATCGACATCGTCATCATCGGAATCTTCACAAACCGCCCCCCTGCTTGGCGCGGAATTCGTCAGTGGGCGAGGCAGCTTTTCAACCATGCGGACGTCGTCTAATCCTGTCGTTTTCATACTGCAGATCTTCGCCTTGTTCACGCTGTCAGTGAACTATACCGGCCCGCCTGGATTACAGGGATACAAGCAACACCAGCAAACGCAGATTGTGTCCGCCCCCAGTGAAGTCGGTGGACATTCCGTGCCTCACCAAGAATTTCTTCTGGTTTCGCCTACGTTTCATCGTGCCACCGGATCGACATCGTCATCATCGGAATCTTCACAAACCGCCCCCCTGCTTGGCGCGGAATTCGTCAGTGGGCGAGGCAGCTTTTCAACCATGCGGACGTCGTCTAATCCTGTCGTTTTCATACTGCAGGTGGGTAGTCGTAATTACTATTCGAAAGTGAAAAGCGACTATTTGTGTCTCGTAGTGCTGCCTCGCCCGGAAGCATTGTGTCTTTGTGTTTCCGACTGTGTTGATGCATTGTGTTCTTTGATTCTTCTTTTGAGCGGGGATATTGAGTCCAACCCGGGACCTAGGACTGAGAGCCAAGGCAAGCAGCTTGACGAAATGCTGAAGCTTCTTCATGAAGTGAATGCTCGTACCCTTAAGTTTGAGGAGGGCCAGAATGGTCTTATGGCATCCGTTAACGAGATAAAAAGCAACCAACAATCGATTGAAAAACAACTCGTTGAAGTAAACAATAGACTAACTGTGGTTGAAAACAAGGCCTTAATGTCCGACGAGTGGCAGAATGAACTGCGGGTAGCACAGCTGATCGCCAATGACACAAAGAAAGAAAATACGCTCCTACGCGCCCGAGTGGATGAAATGGAGGACAGGTCGAGACGGGACAACTTAATTTTCCATGGAATCGTTGACACTCCATCTGAGACATGGGCCCTCTCCCAAGAGAAAGTACGGGAGGTGCTCCATCGGGAAGCTAACATGCAGATTGCTGAAGACGGCATAGCTCGGGCTCATAGACTCGGCGCCTTTGTCGCGGGAAAATGTCGCCCAATAGTCGTTAAGTTTGCGTCTTACAAGCTTCGAGAAAACGTGCTGGTGGGTAGATCAAAATTAAAGGGCAGCAGTGTGTCTGTCAGCGAGGACTTTTCGCCAGCTACGCGTCACGCGCGAAAGGTTTTGATTGAATTTGCGAAGGCGAGAAGCCCGGACAAGTACTTTAGCTTACGGTACAATAAACTTCACCTTGATAAAAAGATTTTTATGTACTGCTCAGACAGTGACAATGTGATTGAAGTTGGTGATCGTTTTGTACCACGCCGCGCAAATCCTGATAATAGCGCGGCTGCTGAGTCAGTGCCTTCTGCTAGCTCCTCGTAGCAACCCATAAATAAGCAAAGTCGGCAAAGGCCTTGTCAATCATTTGCTAATCTTTCAATGTTTTTCGCCAATGTAAGAAGTGTCATGAACAAGCGTGATGAATTGTGTGCGATTATTGACTCTTCATCATCTGATATCGTAGTACTAACAGAAACTTGGCTTTCGTCTCGAATCCGTGACAGTGAAATATTTGCCTGCGAAAAAAAGTTTAATATCTATCGATACGACAGGGAGTATAGATCAGGGGGAGGAGTATTGATTGGAATTAACGAGACAATTGAATCATTTTATGTAAATATTGTAACTGAGCTTGAGTTTATCTGTGTTTGCTTCCACGCGGGAAATAGGCGAATTGTACTTTGTGCTTGTTATAGACCACCTAACTGTTCCACTGGCTTTGTCAATGACTTACATGATGCGCTAAATATGGTTACTGCAAGATTCCCAGATTCTCCGATATTTTTATTAGGCGATTTTAATTATCCGAATATTGATTGGTCAGATACGTGCCCTTCTCTCAGTTGTCATTCCTCTGAGTGTTCCAATTTCTTAAGCTTGTGTGCTGATTTCAATCTTTTACAACTCGTCACTGAACCCACACGAGTCGCAGCTACGTCAGCCAATATCCTTGATCTTGTTTTAACTAATACGCCGGATCTTGTTTCTTTGGTGTCTCATTTACCAGGTGTCAGTGATCATAGTTCATTATACATATCTCTGACGGTTCCTAAGCACAACTCCTCTAAAGTGACTAAATGCATTCGCGACTATAGCAAAGCGAACTTTGAAGCTATTAATGACCACTTAGCCCTTTTTCTAGATGTATTTATAATTAACTTTTCTGAACGCACCATTCAGGAAAACTGGACCCTGTTTAAGAATCAAGTGGCGCTGCTCACGGATAAATTCATTCCTCTCCGTTCGATAAGATCATACACTCATTCACCCTGGTTTAATGTGACACTAAAAAGGCTTTCTAATAAAAAGAAAAGATTGTTTCGCTCTGCAAATGAAACAGGCTGTTCAAAACGTTGGGAGACTTATCAGAACGCGTATGAGGCTTACAAATCTGCTATTCACGATGCGAAGCTTGTGTATTTTAATCAGACTTTGCCGAATATGTTGTCTACTAATCCTAAGCAGTTCTGGAACATTATTGGTGATAACAATTCGAACGAAATCTCAATCAGGGTGGATGATTCTGTTATACCTAGTGAAGACTGTGCTGAAATTTTAAACGCGGCTTTTGTTAAATCTTTTTCCAGTGCATGTAACATGTTACCTTTTTCATTACCTCAGTGCAGCTTCATGCCTATGGAACATTTCGAAATTGATCCCATTGGCATTGTTCGAATAATCGATAATCTTAAACTATCATCCAGTGCTGGTGTCGATAATATTAACTCCAAATTTTTAAAAAACACAAGTGTATATTCTTCCATCATACTGTCAAAAATATTCACCCAATCGCTAGATCTCGGAGTCCTCCCAGACGATTGGAAAGTTGGGAAGGTGGTTCCATTGCACAAAGGAGGTGATAAACATTCCCCTAACAACTATAGACCAATTTCTCTCACTAGCATACCATGTAAGATACTTGAACATGTCATTTATTCTCAGCTTGTTAATTTTTTGGAGTCTAACATGTTTTTCAACGCCTCTCAACATGGATTCCGAAAATCATTTTCCTGCGAGACCCAGCTTTTATTATTTACTAACGACTTGCATTCTGTTCTTGATAGAGGGTCCCAGATCGGCTGCGTATTTTTGGATTTCTCGAAGGCGTTCGATAAAGTCTCACACGAGTTGCTTTTGTTGAAACTAAATAACCTTCGCATTGATGCTAACGTTATGGCTTGGGTCCAGTGCTTTCTTACTAACCGATTCCAGTTTGTTACGGCAAATAACCATACATCTCCTCTCGCGTCAGTGACCTCCGGCGTGCCTCAGGGTTCTGTACTAGGCCCACTTCTGTTTTTAATCTTCATTAATGACCTGCCGAATAACATTTCTTCCTCAATCAACCTTTTTGCGGATGATTGTGTCATTCACCGTGAAATTATTGATGATTCAGATGTTATCAAACTCCAGACAGACATTGACGTTATTCTTCATTGGTGTGAAACTTGGCATATGGCGCTTAACACAACTAAGTGCAAAGTAATGAGAGTGTCTCGTAATCATTCTGTTTCTCCCTGCTACTGTCTTAACAATGTTCCTTTACTTTCTGTATCGTCTTACAAGTACCTGGGTGTACACATAACATCTGATCTTTCCTGGAAAATACATATTGGTTACGTT